GCAGATTCCATTGGAATCATCAGTATAAGGGTTGTTACCAGCGAAAGCTGACTGCTCCTGCCTCTGATTTATAGTCCTGAATTCCCCACACAGGAGGTGCTAGGGTGTCTCCCAATTAGCTCAGCATCTTTAGCAGCTATTCTGGCTGAACGCCGTTTGTGCTTTCTCCTTTCGTCTCTCTAGAAAGGTGGGCACTCTCAAACCCTCATCGTCTGACTCTTCTTCTCCCTCCAATTCCTGAGCGCTTCCCTGCTCCCCTTCCTCTTCCGAAGATGAGAATCCCTAACATTTCTCATACAGATAAACAGCTTCACTCTCACAGAGCCTCTTCTCACATTAAACTTACACAGGAGCTTCTCACAGTAGCCTTTAAAAACAGCACCCTTCACACTGGAGCTTTATGCATGAGATCTTCAACATGGAGCTTCTCTCATCAAAGCTTCTCACACCAGGCCTTTCACATACTGAGGCCTACTAACTCTGAGGCGTTCCCATACTGAGGCAAACTACCATTGGAGCCTTTGCACACTGAGGCTTCTCTCACACTGATACCTCTGTCAGACTGACGCCTCACTCACACTGAGGCGAACTAACACTGAGGCCTACTAACACACTAAGGCTTTCTCCCACAGAGACCTCTCACAGACTGAGGGCAACTAAGCCACAGGCACACCTGACTCATTGCACCCATTTAACCCTTTCAGTACTCGACTCACATTTTTGTAATTAAAAATACCTCGTTAATTTTTAATATTTCTGACCCATTTGATATACCTCTTACACTGGAAATTTTTGGATTATTCATGGCATATATATATAGCCTTGGACTTTCAGGGTGTGTGCTCCCACGGCCCAATACAATGGTGTGTTCAACGCAGTTTCTTTAGATGTAGCACAGGGGACATGTCAACTGCGAAATACTAAAGCGGTGGTGCTTTTTGTCTTGGCTAGGTCCGGGTCTGAAATCATGGCCGTCAGTGGAGTGCTAGGGTGTCTCCCAATTAGCTCAGCATTTTTAGGGGTTGCTAGGGCATCTCCCAATTAGCTCAGTGTTTTTAGCAGCTATTCTGGCTGAACGCCGTCTGTGCTCTGTCTTTACACACAGCAGCCTTCACACTGGAGCTTTACGTACCAGGTGTTCAACCTGGGGCTTCTCGCACTGAAGCTTCTCACACCAGGCCTCACACACATATATACCTTTGGAGTATCAGGGTTTGTGCCCCCACGGCCCAATACAATGGTGTGTTCAACGCAGTTTCTTTAGATGTAGCACAGGGGACACGTCAACTGCGAAATACTAAAGCGGTGGTGCTTTTTGTCTTGGCTAGGTCCGGGTCTGAAATCATGGCCGTCAATGGAGGTGCTAGGGTGTCTCCCAATTAGCTCAGTGTTTTTAGGAGTTGCTAGGGCGTCTCTCAATTAGCTCAGTGTTTTTAGCAGCTATTCTGGCTGAACGCTGTCTGTGCTCTGTCTTTACACACAGCAGCCTTCACACTGGAGCTTTACGTACCGGGTGTTCAACCTGGGGCTTCTCGCACTGAAGCTTCTCACACACACACATATAGCCTTGGACTCTCAGGGTGTGTGCCCCCACGGCTCAATACAATGGTGTGTTCAACGCAGTTTCTTTAGATGTAGCACAGGGGACACGTCAACTGCGAAATACTAAAGTGGTGATGCTTTTTTTCTTGGCTAGGTCCGGGTCAGTGGAGGTGCTAGGGTGTCTCCCAATTAGCTCAGCGTTTTTAGGAGTTGCTAGGGCGTTTCCCAATTAGCTCAGTGTTTTTAGTAGCTATTCTGGCTGAACGCCGTCTGTCTTTACACACAGCAGCCGTCAACTGCGAAACACTAACAATGGCCGTCCTTTTTGTCTTGTCCAGGTGCGGGGATGAAATCGTGGCCGTCAACGGAGTGTCGGCGGTAGGGATGAGCAACGGGGAGCTGATTCCCATGCTGAAAGAGCAGCGGAATAAAGTGGCGCTCACGGTGGTGTCCTGGCCTGGCACCCTTGTGTAAGTGGTCTCCTCGGGAGCACGTCTAATCGGGGGGCTACCTCAAGGCCTGAACTTACCAAGGAAACAATGAACTAGCTTAAAATCCTTCACCGGGAGAATTCTCCTCTTAATCAAAAACCAGAAATATTAGTTTGTTGATAGACTCTGATTGAAGACTCACTTTGGGAGATGAAAGCTGCACTTCCCTGAGCAATTTTCGATTGTTTTGCGATCCCTTTCCCCCCTTCCTCCTCATTCCTATCCATGTGCTGAACATGCGAACTCTGAGCCACAGCTTCCCTGTTCTAATGATTGCAAGTAAAGTTCTGTAAGGTTATGGCCCTTCTGTCGGCAGATAAGTAACTTTGGAAGATATTGATTAATAAATTCAACAAACAACTTTTAAAGGTCCGTCCCACAGCATTTGTTGGCGCTGTTTCAGGTTGGTTGAATGGGACTTCCATTGTTTTGGGGTGGGGGGAGTTGCAAATATGCCTGTTGGGGGGAGAGTTGCAAATATGTTCAGTTCTGCTTCCTAAAAAACTCTTGTTTTTTTTGTTCCCAACCTTCCTAATACTGCGACCCCTTAATACAGTCTCTCATGTTGTGGTGACCCCCAACCATAACATTACTTTCGTTGCTACTTCCTAAGTGTCATTTTGCTCCTGTTATGCAATGCAAATATCTGATGTTCAGGATGTATTTTCATTCACTGGACCAAATTTGCACAAATATCCAATATGCCCACATTTGAATAATGGTGGAGGTTGGGGAGGATTAATTTTGTCATTTGGGAGTTGTAGTTGCTGGGATTTCTAGTTCACCTGCAATCAAAGTGCATTCTGAAACTCCACCAATGATGGAATTGAACCAAATTTGGCACACAGAACTCCCATGATCAACAGAAAACACTGGAAGGGTTTGGTGGGCATTGACATTTTGGAGTTGTAGTTCACCTACATCCAGAGCGCTGTGGACAAACAATGATAGATCTGGACCAAACTTGGCACAAATATTCAATATGACCAAATGTGAACAGTGGTGAAATTTGGGGAAAATAGACCTTGACATTTGGGAGTTGTAGTTGCTGGGATTTATAATTCACCTACAATCAAAAGCTTCCTGAACCCCACCAATGATAGAATTGGGTGAAACTTGGAACACAGAACCCTCCCTCCCCCCACCTTGAGGGGACTCACTGGCACGAGCCTCCCTCCAACCTCACACGCTCTCCCTCACCCACATATGCGCACCATGCGCCTAACATGCCTGCTCTCTCCTCCCTGTAGTCTTCAGCCTTCTCTGCCCAAGGGGTTCCTAAGATCAGAAGAATTATATGTTTTCTGATGGTCTTTGGTGACTCCTTTGAAACCCCCTTGTGATCCCCAGGTTGAGAAATGCTGGTTTAGAGAAAGTGAAGCTTGCGCTGCATTATGTATAGTTGTTTGACACCTATCTTAACCAGGCCGCATCACGAGAAGACAGGAAAGCTTAGAGAAGGGAATAATGCTGGGGAAAACAGAAGGAAAAAGGAAGAGAGGCCGACCAAGGGCAAAATGGATGGATGACATCCTTGAAGTGACTGGATTGACCTTGAAGGAGCTGGGGGTGGTGACGGCCGACAGGGAGCTCTGGCATGGGCTGGTCCAGGAGGTCACCTAGAGAAGACAATGATAGTGGGGAAAATGGAAGGAAAAAGAAAGAGGGGTCAACCAAGGGCAAGATGGATGGATGACAACCTTGAAGTGACTGGATTGATCTTGAAGGAGCTGGGGGTGGTGACGGCCGACAGGGAACTCTGGCGTGGGCTGGTCCAGGAGGTCACGAAGAGTCAGAAGCGACTGAACGAATGAACAACAAAATCTTAACCAGTGTATTTGGATAGCACTAGGTTGTCCAAGTGCCCACATTTATTTCCATTATAACATGGGAGAGAAATTGAGAATTTTCTGTTATTCTTCTCAGAAAAAGGACTTGTGGTTTTCCAAGACCATGTTTGACCTCATGTAAGCCGCCCCAAGTCCCCATTGGGGAGATGGTGGCGGGGTATTAAATAAAGTAATACAAATAAATTAAATAAATTACATTATTTAATTTAACAATTTAATTTAATTATTTAATTATTTTGTTTAATAATTAATTAATTAATTAATTATTTTGTTTCATACACATTTCTGGTTGCTCCTGACACGATAAATAAATAAATAAAATCTGTATATATAATAAAAGTGAATGTTTGTATGTATGTATGCGGCGGGAGGTGTATGTGGCAGCTTTCTGATTGGCTGCCAATTTCACAGGCCACTGTGACCAACACAGGTGACCCACCTGGACCAAACATGGCACACATAATCCTCATGACCCTCTTTACGTCCTAGTGTGGTTTGGTTTCAAGGATGGACCATGGTTGATGGGACTTGAAGTACCTCCACTCTCTTCCTGAGACTGCTGCGAACCTCATCCAATGACTGATCAAGTCCAAACTTGGCACACAGAGCCCCCAAGACCCACTCTACATCCTGGTGAGGTTTGGGGGAGGATGGACTATGGACGATGGGACTTGAAGTACCTCCACTCACTTCCTGAGACCACTGCGACCCTCATCCAATGACTGATCAAGTCCAAACTTGGCACACAGAGCCCCCAAGACCCACTCTACATCCTGGTGAGGTTTGGAGGAGGATGGACCATGGACGATGGGACTCGCAGTACCTCCACTCACTTCATGAGACCACTGCGATCCTCATCCAATGACCGATCAAGTCCAAACTTGGCACACAGAGCCCCCAAGACCCACTCTACATCCTGGTGAAGTTTGGAGGAGGATGGACCATGGACGATGGGACTCGCAGTACCTTCACTGACTCCCTAAGAGCACTGCGAGCCATATAAATAACTGATAAAGACCAACCTTGATACACAATTCCTTTCTCAAATAACCCGGGCAGCGCCGGGTCCCCAAGCTAGTATTAAATAAAGTTTATTATTAGTATTAAATCACTCATGTTTTCAAAAAAAATTGCTTTATTTCCCACATGTTTTCCTGTTATGGACCCATTCACTGCACCATGATAGTGTATGAACCGAAAGACATCCTGGCTCAAGTTTCCAAATTCGTTAGCTTCATACGAACACTCAGACTTGCATGACTACAATAACAACAAAAAAATATATAAAGTTCAAACCAATTTTGGAAGTGTTTTTTTTTAAAATATTTCCGGCAAAAGGTGGAAGATAATTTAAAAAGAAGGGATGCGCGCAAAGTGGGGTTTTTAATGTATTCAGGGTCTGAGCGTGCGTTCTTGTTTATTTCAAAACAAAAACAACGTAGACTATGGCTAGGCTTAGTGTTGGAAGGGCTACGAAAAGTGTGTCAGTGACGTACGAACTGGCAACGTCGATCCTCGTTGGACCAAAAGAGGTTGCTTTTGGCAGCCACCGTAAATAGTTTGCATTCAACTACTTAAGGCAAGCTTTCCATGATTGCGTTCCCGTTGAATAGTTTTGCAAGGAGGCCCACTGAACTCGTGTCAGGTCCTGCGGATGTTGAGTTCCCGGGGTAAAAGTGTGCGTCTCGTACAAACCTGTGCCCGTGGTGAACGATCACTTTCCTTGAGCGAAATGAGGAGGCATGAGTAAGGGAAAGAAATGGGCTGTCGGACATCTCGACGTTCCTCTTCCAAGTGGCTCCATGGTGCATTCACTGTCCGTCTTCTTTAAGATCGGATATTGCTCCGGACTTGAACCTTAAGCGGTCTCCTATCAGAAGCCATAGGATCTGACACGGCGGAGTTTCGCCCGCACAGGGAAGAGTTCGGTGCTTTGTCCATTTTTTTTTCTCACTCTCCTGGAAATCTGGTTTGGCTTTTGCGAGGGCAACCTGCATTCCCACCATCTTGGCCATTATTTTCTCAGAAAATACAAAGAAGTCCTTCAGAAATTGCAGGAGGTGGGCGGCCTGGTTGGAGAAGTGCTCCGACTGTCCTTGGAACGGGAATCGGCTACTCTTTGGAGTCCTGTCCATTTCCTTCTGGAACGCCGTCCTCATTGGCCTCCTTCTCCTCCTTACTCCGCTTGTTCTTTTTGTGCTTGTGGCGCCGGTGGGTCTCCCCTTCTTCGCTCTCGTGTTGCTTGCTAAAATCAGAGAAAAGAAACATACTTTAAATACTGCACCCCCACATTTATTTATTTACGTTATTTGTATACCGCTGCTCTCAGCCCTTAGGCGACTCACAGCGGTTAACAACAAGAACAGCAAAAATTCAATGCTACCATCACACGGTATAAAAAACAGTTAACATCATAACATATTATAGAAAAGTATACAATTAACAACAACATACAATTAACACCAATAGCCATTCACGAGCGTCTCATCACTAAAAACATGATCCAGATCTGTTATCTATTGTTCCATTCCTATGTTCATTACATTCATTGCACTGACTATTCGAACGCCTGCTCAAACAACCAGGTTTTCACTTTTTTGCGGAATACCATTAGTGATGGAGCTAGTCTAATGTCCGTGGGAAAGGCGTTCCACAGCCGCGGGGCCACCACCGAGAAGGCCCTATCTCTCGTCCCCGCCAGCCGTGCTTGAGAAAAAGGCGGGATCGAGAGCAGGGCCTCCCCGGAAGATCTCAAAGTCCTGGTGGGTTCATAGGCAGAGATGCGGTCAGATAGGTAACTTGGGCCGGAACCATTTAGGGCTTTAAAGGCCAACGCCAGCACTTTGAATTGAGCCCGGTAGCAAGTCGGTAGCCAGCGGAGTTGGCGCAACAGGGGGATTGTATGCTCCCTGTGCTCCGCTCCTGTTAGAATCATGGCTGCCAAGCGTTGGACTAGTTGAAGCTTCTGAGCCGTCTTCAAAGGCAACCCCACGTAGAGAGTGTTGCAGTAGTCTAAACGGGATGTACCGTGGCCAAGTCAGACTTCACATCCTCAGTATTGCTACAGTATTCCTCCATGATTTTTTAAAAAAATTAAAACATTTATATTCCGCCCTTCTCACCCCGAAGGGAAAACACAGACATGTTTTTATGAGTGATGGCATAAAGGCAGCCAATCACAGGAGCTGCTTACGACACTGTGAACCACCGCCTCCTCCTGAGAAAAATGTATAATATTACAAAAGACTACGGTCTCACCTGCCTCATAGGAAACCTGCTACAAAACAGGAGCTTTTTTGTTGAGTTCCAGGGCCGGAGAAGCAGATGGCGGAAACAGGAGAACAGCCTGCCTCAGGGGAGCGTGCTTGCTCCATCCATGTTCAACAGCTACACAAATGACCAGCCACACCCAGAAGGGACAGAGAGCTTCATCTCTGCTGATGATCATGCCATCACCGCTCAAACAGGAAGCTTTGAGATGGTTGAACAGAAGCTCCCCGAAGCTCTAGGTGCTCTTACTGCCTATTACAGGGAAAACCAGCTGATCCCTCACCCATCTAAAACACAGACATGTGCCTTTCACCTTAAGAACAGACAAGCATCCCGAGCTCTGAGGATTATTACCTGGGAAGGAATCCCACTGGAGCATTGCAGCACACCCAAAGACCTAGGAGTCACTCTGGACCGTCCTCTGACCTACAAGAAGCACTGCCTGAACATCAAGCAAAAAGTGGGCACTAGAAACAATATCATACAAAAGCTGACTGGCACAACCTGGGGATCACAACCAGACACAGCGAAGACATCTGCCCTTGCGCTATGCTACTCTGCTGCGGAGTATGCATGCCCAGTGTGGAACACATCTCACCACGCTAAAACAGTGGATGTGGCTCTTAATGAGACATGCTGCATTATCACGGGGTGTCTGCGCCCTACACCACTGGAGAAATTACACTGCTTAGCCAGTATTGCACCACCTGACATCCGCCGGGAAGTAGCAACCAATAGTGAAAGGACCAAGGCAGTGACGTCTCCAGCTCATCCCCTGTTTGGGTATCAGCCAGCACGTCAACGACTTAAATCAAGAAATAGTTTTCTAAGATCTACAGAGACACTCGTTGGAACACCTCAGCAAGCGAGAGTCCAAAAGTGGCAGGCTCAAAGCCAGAACCTCAATCAATAGCTAATACCAGATGAGAGACTCCCCCCTGGTCACACAGAAGACTAGGCGACTTGGAAGGTGTTGAACCGACTGCACTTTGGCACCAGGAGATGCAGAGCCAACCTTAAGAAATGGGGCCACAAAGTGGAATCCACGACATGCAAGTGCAGAGAAGAGCAAACCACTGACCACCTGCTGCAATGCAACCTGAGCCCTGCCACATGCACCATGGAGGACCTTCTTGCGGCAACACCAGAGGCACTCCAAGTGGCCAGATACTGGTCAAAGGACATTTAATCAACCAGCAAGCTTGCAAACTCTGTGTCTTTTGTATTTTTGTTTGTTTGTTTGTTTTTGTTAAAAATGTAATACAAATGTCTGGTTGCTGATGACACGATAAATAAATCTGTGTGCAGATGACATCGAACACCAAAACTCTGGATAATCTCACCCAATGGCTTCGTGTAGATATTAAACAACATGGGGAACAGTACTGAGCCCTGCGGGGCCAAGCAGGTGTCCCCCAACACCTTCTGAGAGCGACCCTCGGGGAAGGACTGAAGCCACTGCAGAATAGTACCTCCAAGACCCATCCCTGCAAGATGACTCAGAAGGATACTATGGTCTACAGTATCGAAGGCCACTGAGAGGTCCAGGAGAAACAACAGGGACACACTCCCCTTGTCGAGCTTTCTGCAACGATCATCCACTAAGGCAACTATGGCTGTCTCAGTTCCATGACCCAATCTGAAACCAGACTGCGATGGGTCAAGATAGTCAGTTTCATCCAAGAACCCGTGGAGCTGCGAGGCAACCACACATTCCAAGACTTTAAATACTGCACCCCCACATCCTCAGTATTGTTACCACTTTCTGAGCTCTCAAGTGCGAAGGCCTTACCGCCGCGAGGATTTGTGTTTGCTGCCCTCCTCTTTGTCTCTGTGCCTTCGCTCCCGGTGGCGGTCTTCCCTCTCGCGGCTGCGATCCCGACTCCGCCGATAATCCCGCTCGAAATCGTAGTTGCGCTCCCGGCTGCTGTAATAGCGATACCTCTCGTCATCGCTGCAAGGAGAGAAGGGAGCACACTTGAGCAGAGAAAAGACTTTGAGGAAAGGGGAAATCAATCACTCACAACCTCTGAGGATGCTTGCCACAGATGCAGGCAAAACGTCAGGAGAGAATGCTTCTAAAACATGGCCATAGAGTCCGAAAAACCTGCAACAACCCAGTGATTCCAGCCATGAAAGCCTTCGACAATCACGCACACACTCTGTGAATTGCAAACCCTCTGTGGCGAGGGAGGGAGTCTATTTCCTTATTTTAAAAAAATAAACCTCTTTACTGCCTTATACTGATTCAGTTTCTTCTTTTATATTGGCTGGGACTTTCTGTGTGCTGTTTAATCTTTGTACTTTATATCACAGGCAATGAGACACTCTTGTGTATAACAAAGTAACACAGTTTATTTATAACTTCTGGCTCCAACGCTTGTGGTTACATTTGTGTTTTGTTGCAATCTTGAGGCTTATAGTCAGTATCATTTACTTGGTTTACTTTTCTGTACAATTTTCAATGTTTCACATTCACAAACATGTTACTTGCTTTACACACTCTTGGCTAAATTCTGACTAAAGCAGCACCGGCTTTCTTTATGTTCCTTAAAACTCGAGCTCTATTTAACTAACTGCTTCTCTATATCAGAAGTCTTTAACACATCTTCATAACTGCTTCTTTCTAACAGGACTCAAAAACCAACTATCCTTTTCACACACAGATTCCTAACTGTCATTTTTTAACTCCCTCACTCGAACTGCCTCTTTCAAAACCTTGGCTCCACCCCTTTGGAATGTTCAGCTCTGCTCTCCCCAACTGTCATTTTGGCCTAGCAGCCTTTTCAAATCCTGGGCCTACGCTAATCTTCAGATGACCAATCGGCTTCACATATGTAAATGAATCCTATCTCTGCTGTCACTACCCTGTCTGTGCCTATTATTCCCTATCTGACATATGTAAACATAGAGCTATACACCAAAAATTTAACATAGAGTAGCAATTTTGCTACACCCTCATAAAATTGGAGTTTAAGATCATATGTGGAGTTGGGGGTCTTCACTCCCTTCATGTCCATCCGATCTTGCCTTATTGAATATCAGCAGGCACACTTAGTTAAAAAAAATCACTTCAACCATCACCCAGGTTAAAAAAGAAGCACTATGAAAGCCCTGGCAGGCTGTGCAAAAAGAATCTGCAGACTACTTCAACCAGAGAAGTCAGCCATAGCAAAGCACCTGATGAACCAGCCTGGACACAGCATATTATTTGAGAACACAGAAATGCTGGACCACTCCAGCAACCACTATGTCAGGCTACACAGAGAAGCCATTGAAATCCACAAGCATGTGGACAATTTCAACAGGAAGGAGGAGAGACCATGAAAATGAACAAAATCTGGCTACCAGTATTAAAAAACTAAAATTACAACAGCAAAACAGCAGAGAGGAAACAACCAGGCACATCTTAACACCTCTCAACAAAACATTTCCCAGGCTCAGCCAGGCCTTCAAATGCTAATGAAGGTGGTCAGTTGAAACATTCACACCTAGCTTCAGCAGAGAAGAGCTCTTTGCCCCACCCCAGTCATTCCACAGATATATAAACCCATTTTCCTATTTCCAAACAGACCTCACTACCTCTGAGGATGCTTGCCACAGATGCAGGCGAAACGTCAGGAGAAATGCCTCTAGAACATGGCCATGTAGCCCGAAAAAACCCACAAGAACCTAATGGCTTCAAACTACAAAAGAGGAGGTCTATCTGAACATGAGGAAGAACTTCCTGACTGTGAGAGCCATTCAGCAGTGGAACTCTCTGCCCCGGAGCGTGGTGGAGGCTCCTTCTTTGGAAGCTTTTAAACAGAGGCTGGATGGCCATCTGTCAGGGGTGATTTGAATGCAATATTCCTGCTTCTTGGCAGGGGGTTGGACTGGATGACTCATAAGGTCTCTTCCAACTCTGATTCTATGATTCTAGAAGTCTTTCTCCTACCCTAGACATTATTCCACAGATATATAAACCCGATTTTCCTAGTTTCCAAAAGACCTCCCAACCTCTGAGGATGCCTTGCATAGATACAGGCGAAACGTCAGGAGAGAATGCTTCTGGAACATAGCCATACAGCCCAGAAAACTCACAACAACCCCAGAAAAACACTGATGGATCACGTCCTCGGATTGCAGTTAAGGCTGCTTTCGTGCACGTTACACATCGTTGGTCCCATCGGGTTCCAGTCAACACTCACTTGTTGTATTCGCTGGTGGTGGGGGTCCGGTCCCGGTCCCTTTCCCGCTCCCGCCTTGAGTTGGAATACTCCCAGTGACAACCGTCGGAAGCGCCGGAGCCTTTGTCCACCGTCGTCACCCAGGGAGTGTGGGACGTGGAAATGGGAGGGTAGCTGATGAAACCCGAATCTGTGGAGAAGGAAGAGTCAGATGATGGGGGGTTTGAAAGTGACCACCTTTCTAGAGAGACGAAAAGAGACAGAGCACAGACAGCGTTCAGCTAGGATAGCTGCCAAAAACTCTGAGCTAATTGGGAGAGGCCCTGTCACTGTGTTCCCCAACATCCACAAATCACAGAAGCAGGTGCACAAAGGAGTCCCTTGACCCATGTGGCGCACTGCAACATGCAGTGTGAGAGAGGCCACAGTGTGAGAAGGCTCCAATATTAGTTTGCCTCAGTTTGGGAATGCCTCAGAGTTAGTAGGCCTCAGTGTAGAGAGACCTGGTGTAAGAAGCTTTGGTGAGAGAAGCTCCAGGTTGAAGACCTGGTACGTAAAGCTCTAGTGTGAAGGCTACTATGTGTAAAGGCTACTATGAGAAGCTCCTGTGTAAGTTTAGTGCGAGAAGAGGCTCTGTGAGAGTGAAGCTGTTTATCTGTATGAGAAATGTTAGGGATTCCTTATCTTCGGAAGAGGAAGGGGAGAAGGGAAGCGCTCAGGAATTGGAGGGAGAAGAAGAGTCAGATGTTGGGGTTTGAAAGTGCCCACCTTTCTAGAGAGACGAAAAGAGACAGAGCACAGACGGCGTTCAGCTAGGATAGCTGCTAAAAATGCTGAGCTAATTGAGAGACACCCTAGCACCTTCTCTATTATACACCGTACAGCCGCGTTCATCTCTAGGTCTTTCAGCAAAAGTCCATGATGAACCCTTGGCAGAGATTGATTATAAAGTTGCAACGGAGAACCTAGAGATTCCTAGAGATCAAATCTGAGAATATTCAAATCTAGGAATTTGCTCCAGGATATCTATATGGCTGCTTCAAGCTGAAGCACACCATAGAATCACCTGGAAGATCTAGAGCAGTGCTTCTCAACCTTTCCAATGCCACAACCCCTTAATACAGTTCCTCATCTTGTGGTGAGCCCCAACCATACAATCATTTTCATTGCTACTTCATAGCTATACTTTTGCTACTGTTATGAATGTTATGAATGTAAATACTTGGTATGCAGGATGTATTTTCATTCACTGGACCAAATTTGGCACAAACACCCAAAAATTTGAATACTGGTGTTTTGATTTTGTCATTTGGGAGTTGTAGTTGCTGGGATTTATAGTTCACCTATAATCAAAGAGCATTCTGAACTCCACCAATGAAGGAATTGAACCAAACTAGGCACACAGAACTCCCATGACCAACAGAAAATACTGGAAGATTCTCTCAGTTCTTGTGGGTTTTTTCGGTCTATATGGCCATGTTCTAGAGGCATTTCTCCTGACGTTTCGCCTGCATCTATGGCAAGCATCCTCAGAGGTGAGGATGCTTGCCATAGATGCAGGCGAAACGTCAGGAGAAATGCCTCTAGAACATGGCCATATAGCCCGAAAAAACCCACAAGAACTGAGTGATTCCGGCCATGAAAGCCTTCGACAATACAATACTGGAAGAGTTTGGTGGGCACTGACCTTGAGTTTTGGAGTTGCAGTTCACATACATACAGAGAGCATTGTGGATTCAAACCATGATGGATCTGGACCAAACTTGGCATGAATAATCAATATGCTCAAATGTGAACAGCAGTGGAGTTTGGGAAAAATAGCCCTTGATATTTGGGAGTTGTAGTTGCTCGTATTTAGAGTTCACCTACAATCAAAGAGCATTCTGAACTCCACCAATGAAGGAATTGAACCAAACTAGGCACACAGAACTCCCACGACCAACAGAAGATACTGGAAGAGTTTGGTGGGCATTGCCCTTGAGTTTGGGAGTTGTAGTTTAGCTACATCCAGAGAGCACTGTGGACTCAAACAATGATAGATCTGGACCAAATTTGGCACAAATAATCAATATGCCCAAATGTGAACAGTGGTGGATTTTGGGAAAAATAGCCCCTGACATTTGGAAGTTGTAGTTGTTGGGATTTGTAGTTCACCTACAACCATAGAGCATTCTGAATCCCACCAATGATAGAATTGAGTCAAACTTCCCATACAGAACCCCCATGACCAACAGAAAATACTCTGTTTTCTGATGGTCTTTGGTGACCCCTCTGACACCCACCCCAGGGGTCCCGACCCCCAGGTTGAGAAATGCTGATCTCGAGGGATTCTGGAGAGGACATATTTTGTTGGTTGTGAGTAGATGAAGCTGCAGTTAGTCCTGTAGGTACAGAGTTGTACTGTACTTAATTCTAATTTTCAGTCATGGCCAGTTAGTCAAACCTCCCTACCTCTGAGGATGCCTGCCATAGATTCAGGCGAAACGTCAGGAGAGAATGCCTCTAGACCATGGCCATATAGCCCAAAAAAACCTACAACAACCCAGTGATTCCGGCCATGAAAGCCTTTGACAATACAATGCCCTCCATCATTCGATCAGCCTGTACTCAGAAGATCTCAAGCTACAAAATGTTAGATTGGCTATAAAGTGTGACATCCTCTCTATGGATGAATTATGAGGTGACATTCACCAGCATCAAAAGGTAAGAAGTCCTCCATGACACACTACTTTGGCACTACTTGGGTTGTCTATTTTGGCAAACAGTGGCTTCATGGCACACCATATCTATTAATAAACACAAGGGCCCTAGATAATGCATATGCAAAAAAGGAACTTTCTCAAAATTTTGAACCAAGGGAAAGGGACTTTTATTGAGTTAATGTACAGTAGAGTCTTGCTTATCCGACCTTCGCTTATCCGACATTCCGTCTTATCCAATGTCTCCCTTTTCCTCCAGCATTTCCCCTTCAGTTAAAGAAGCGCTCCCCAACTCTCTCTCCATTCTCAATAAGGGAAAAAGGGAAAGGGACTTTTCTGAGTTAATGTGCAGTAGGGTCTTGCTTATCCGACCTTCGATTATCCGACATTCCGTCTTATCCAACGTCCCCCTTTTCCTCCAGCATTTCCCCTTCAATTAAAGAAGCACTCCCCAACTCTCTCTCCATTCCCAATAAGGGAAAAAGGGAAAGGGGCTTTTCTGAGTTAATGTACAGTAGAGTCTTGCTTATCCGACCTTCGCTTATCCGACATTCCGTCTTATCCGACGTCTCCCTTTTCCTCCAGCATTTCCCCTTCAATTAAAGGAGCGCTTCCCAACTCTCTCTCCATTCCCAATAAGGGAAAAAGGCAAGATGAGGAGGAGGGAGGAAAGGGGGACTGGAAGTAGATGCATCCTCCCTCCTTCCTTCTGTGATTCCCATGCTCCTCTTCCGCATCTGGGCACTTCCTGCTGGACCTCTCTAGCCCCGAGGCATTACCTTGACTTAACTCTTTGAGTCTCTGTTCTTAGTATTCTAGGTGTCTAGCACCATGTTGGACAGGTAACAGGAGGAGACTCCGTATTATCCGACATTTTCGTTTGACATTCTGTTGGCCCGTTTATGTCGGATAAGTGAGACTCCACTGTATTGCTTTCATGCACCAACACTAAATGACTGCTGCAAAGATCTGAAAGACTTGCTTCATGATTTCTGATTGACCACAAAGAAATAACTATGCTTTAATACCCGAAAATTACAACCAAAGAAGTGGGTTTATATCCACAAAAGCTGATGCTAAATTATTATTATTATTATATTTATTATATTTATTTATTTATACATACCCCGCCACCATCTCCCCAAGGGGACCCGGGGCAGCTTACGTGAAGCCAAGCCCCAATAATAATCTATATACATAAAAATGTAATGTCCGTTTGTGGGATTAACAGAACTCAAAAACCACTGGACGAATTGACACCAAATTTGGACACAAGACACCTAGCAACCCAATGTATGTTCTTCACTCAAAAAAATATGATTTTGTCATTTGGGAGTTGTAGTTGCTGGGATTTATAGTTCACCTACAATCAAAGAACATTCTGAATGCCACTAATGATGGAATTGAACCAAACTTGGCACACAGTTCTCCCATGACCAACAGAAAATACTGGAAGGGTTTGATGGGCAGTGTCCTTTGGTTTTTTGGTTTTTTGTCAGGAGCGACTTGAGAAACTGCAAGTCGCTTCTGGTGTGAGAGAATTGACCGTCTGCAAGGACGTTGCCCAGGGGACGCCCGGATGATTTGATGTTTTTATCATCCTTGTGGGAGGCTTCTCTCATGTCCCCGCATGAGGAGCTGGAGCTGATAGAGGGAGCTCATCCGCCTCTCCCCGGATTCGAACCTGTGACCTGTCGGTCTTCAGTCCTGCCGGCACAGGGGTTTAACCCACTACGCCACCGGGGGCTCCGGTTTTGGAGTTGTAGTTCACCTACATCCAGAGACCACTGTGGACTCAACCAATGATGGCTCTGGACCAAACTCTACATGAAGACTCAATATGCCCAAATGTGAACACTGGTGGAGTTTGGGAAAAATAGCCCCTGACATTTTGAAGTTGTAGTTATTGGGATTTATAGTTCACCTACAACCAAAGAGCATTCTGAATCCCACCAATGATAGAATTGGGTCAAACTTCCCATACAGAACCCCCATGACCAACAGAAAATACTCTTGTTTTCTGATGGTCTTAGGTGACCCCTCTGACACCCACCCAGGGGTCCCGACCCCCAGGTTGAGAAATGCTGATCTCGAGGGATTCTGTAGAGGACATATTTTGTTGGTTGTAAGTAGATGAAGCTGCAGTTAGTCCTGTAGGTACAGAGTTGTACTGTACTTAATTCTAGTGTTCAGTCATGGTCAGTTAGACAAACCTCACAACCTCACAATTAAGGCAGTGGTTCTCCCTGACATCCTGACTGAATCATCCTGGCTGAATCAATTCTCTCTGTGTGACATTTTGAAGCCAGCAGAGGGCGCTGGAAGCCTTGTATTGCAACTTGTGAAGCAACAAGTTCTAACAAGGAAACTGGAAGAGGGGGGAGATGGGCAGGAAAGGTGTATAAAAGGAAGTGGTGGTGGGGAAAAGTCAGTAGTGTCTTTCTTTGTTGCAGAGATACAAGCAATATATCCATTTCCAAGCAAAGACGACTTGTGAGTGGTTATTTAATATTGCTATATAGATCCTACACTCTTACAGAACTTGACATTTGGAAATTGCAGTTGCTGGGATTTATTTATTTATTATTCAGACTTATATGCCGCCACTCCCCTGGGGCTCGGAGCGGCTTACAAGAATGGCTAAAATCTAACACAATTTAAAAACAATTTAAAACAATTTAAAAACAGCAATATCCAAAATCAAAGGCCTGTCGAAACAGGTATGTCTTACATGCCCTGTGGAAAGCTGATAAGTCCCGCAAGGCACGGACTTCAGGTGGTAGAGTATTCCAGAGTGATGGTGATTTATAGTTCACCTACAATCAAAGCATATTCTGAACCCCACCAACAATAGAATTGGGCCAAACTTCCCGCACAGTAGCCCCATGAACTACAGAAAATACTGTGATTCTGATAGTTTTTGGTGATTCCTCTGACACCCTTCTCACAACCCCCCCCCCCCAGGGGTTCCGACCCCCAGATTGAGAAACGCTGGGTCAAGGCAAGGCAACGCCTCGGGGCTAGAGCAGCCCAGAAGGAAGTGCCCGGATGTGGAAGAACAGGGTGGAAACCACAGAGGGAAGGAGGGAAGACTCTTCCGCTTCTGGTCCTGCTTCTTTTCCCCCTTTTCTCCCTCCTCCTATTCTGTCAGGATTATTTAGTTATGCATGTGTTTTTTTCAATGTGCTTCTATGTAATTCAAGATGGATTAAGATGTATTTCAAGATGGATTCTATTCTGTTCAATTGTATATAAGAAAATACTGTGTTGAGGCAGTGAAAATGTAACCTTGACAGAAATGAGATAACATGTTCTCTGGCTGGGAAGAAGAGGGAGGAACTGATCTCAGCCAGAAGTCAGATAAGCAGATGTTCAGAGACTGTTGTTTTTGCCTAGGAGTTCCTGTTTGTAGCTTGCTGTGAATAGACGTGTGTAGATGTACTTAGTAAAACGTAGTTTTCTGTTATAACTGAAAGCTTGCAGAGTCCTCATTCTGAACACACTGTCTGCTAATCTAGCAATCCTTCTGCGGGCAAACTTCAATACTCTGACATCTTCCTCCTTGTCTTGCCTTTTTCACTTATTAGGAATGGAGGGAGAGTTGGGGAGTGCTACTTTAATTGAAGGTGAAATGTTGGAGGAAAAAGGGGGGTCATCGGATAAGGGTCAGTCGTAAGGCCGAACAGGGCATAGGGTTACAGCCTGTGTTAGATGGGGTTACACTCCCCTGAAGACGCAGGTTCGCAGCTTGGGAGTGATCCTGGACTCATCCTGAGCCTGGAAGCCCAGGTCTCGGCGGTGGCTGGGAGAGTTTTTGCACAATTAAAACTTGTGCGCCAGCTGTGCCCATACCTTGGGAAGTCGGATCTGGCCACAGTGGTCCACGCTCTTGTTACATCCCGATTAGATTACTGCAACACACTCTAATTGGGGTTGCCTTTGAAGACTGCTTGGAAACCTCAATTAGTCCAGCGGGAGGCAGCCAGAGTACTCACCGGAGCGTCATACAGGGAGCATACCACCCCTCTGTTATGTCAGCTCCACTGGCTGCTGATCCAATTCCGAGCACAATTCAAAGTGCTGGTTTTGACCTACAAAACCCTATACGGTTCCAGCCCAGCGTATCTGTCCGAACGGATCTCCCTCTATGTCCCACCGTGGAGTTTAAGATCTTCTGTGGAGGCCCTGCTCTCGGCCTCGTCTCTATCACAAGTGAGATTGGTGGGGACGAGGAGCAGGGCCTTCTCAGTGGTGGCCCCTCACCTATGGAATTCACTCCCCGGGGAAGTTAGATCAGTGACATCCCTCCTTTCCTTTAGAAGGAAATTAAAAACATGGATTTGGGACTAGGCATTTGGGCAATCTGGCAGATAAATAAAGGACTACGACGACGGATAGGAATAGACAATGTGGAATGAAGTATGGACTCTGAGTTGGCGAACGCTGAGCATGACATTGGTTATTGATTGTGATATGTATAGATTGTTTTAATTGTTATAACTGTTTAACTGCTGTTTTTATGCATTTTTGTATTATTGTGTAGGCATCGAATTGTGCCTGTTTGTAAGCCGCCCTGAGTCCCCCCTTGGGGGTTGAGAAGGGCGGGGTAGAAGTACACGAAATAAATAAATAAATAAATAAATAAAATAAGAATGTCGGATAAGATGGAGTGTCGGATAAGCAAAGGTCGGATAAGCGAGACTCTACTGTATGGAATGGGGTGGCCTGAAACTTACTAAAAAGGAGGGAATAGATGCTTGCAAGAGAAGCAAATTCAATTTTTTTTGTGTCCAGATAAAGTATGCAGGTCCATAGATTATGGAGAGGTCAAAGCCTGCAAAAGGACAGCCGTACGAGACTCTGAAGTCCCATTTTGAACCTAATGTTTATCTTCATGGTAGGAATATTTGCAAAAAAAATAATAATTCAAAACAAACTCGTTTTACCCAAAAATAAGAATACGTAATTTCCTGTTCTTTATTCTGGACGAGACGGTAAACAGAAAGGGATGGTATTCGAGTAATGCAAAGCATGTTCCAAGCCACGTTAACGAAGCTGACAATCTATAAGACAATCCTCACTAACCGAAGCCACTTTTTCAATCCCTTTCCAGATAAAACGGGCAGGAAATACCACCCTCCCTGCACAACGCACTGGAAGTCTTCGCTCAAAGCAATGGTCCCACTCGGAAAACTCAAAAGTGGTCCCAAAAAGTTCCCAAAACCCTGCAAAAAATCCCTAAACTTCCAAAATATCAGCATTGAATTGTCACATAGGTTCCAAGTGCAGAACGCTATGTAGTGAAAGGCAAAACAAAACAAGAACACATTTGCTTGGCTTTCAAAGTAGTGATAGAAATCAGAATATATATATATATATATATTCAGAGGTAGAAAGGTGGATAGTTTGCAATTCCCTGCTTAGCAGCAAAAACACACCTGTGTACCAAAATATTCAAGAGATGCAAATTGTTAACTCAGAAGGGTGCAAACAGAGATTATCACACTACACCAGGCATGGGCAAACTTTGGCCCTCCGGGTGTTTTGGACTTCAACTCCCACAATTCCGAACAGCCGGTAGGCTGTTCGGAATTGTGGGAATTGAAGTCCAAAACACCCGGAGGGCCAAAGTTTGCCCCTTCCTGGGTTATATTCTGGTCACAGTCCTGTTAAATTTGAACAGCAACGCTTTAACAGTGTCATGTCATCATCTCCAAAGTGTCAACGTGCAAAAAGTGCTAGAGTTCGGGGGAAGCATACGACAAACATAGGAATCAGTGCTAAAACGGTGGGAGTAAAGAGAAAAAGAAAACAGAGGAGGGAGTGAGGCGTTGGCATTATTGCAACCGCTCCAATATGTGCAGGGAGCATAAGACACAAAGTGGAATGGTGGCAGCTGTCGATAGGAAGCCACAGTGTCACTCGTGCGCCTCTCCGCCGACCCTGGGTTTCAGCTGTGAGCGGAACGGCACCGGGTCATTCCCAAAGGGAGGCCATAGCCGGAGGCAGGTCGCAGCAGAGTCCGGGGCCGCCCACCCAAACTAGCGGGAGATGGGGCCAAACCCCGTCGGGGAGCACGAGGGGCGGCAGCATCAGCACTGGCACCTGGGAAGGGCTCACCTGAGGAGCTGTAGCCAAAGGGAGGAGGCTGACGGTTGTTGTAGCCGGCAGGCTGGCTTTGAGGAGAGAGCAGGGAGAGAGACAGGGAGGGAAAGACACACAAAAACCCATTAGCAATGGCTAGCCCTTGGGCCCCGTCACACTGCAGAATGATAACATGCTATATCCGAATCATACATAGAATAATAATAACACTGTTCAACAAATTTTCAGTTTTTCTCAGTTACGGAAACGAAATGTGCCGTTTCTTAATAAATTTAACATGCTGAATCCAAATATAATAATTCAATGTGTTAATTGGCTCTGGTTTTTATGCAACAGCTATTTCAATTTTCTCCACAATAGGTAATTTGTTAATATTATGATAATGCGCCTAACCTTACTGCATGTATATAAACCGTGAATATTTACTAAATTGTAGTCAAATTATATTGCCAATAGTTTATACATGAGAAACATGTATTTAATTAGTCTATTGTTTATGTTTGTGCAGCAAGAAACTCTATTAGTAGGCCTAATGCAGTTGAAAAGTCTGAAAGTTTAAATGTCGCCTTTAATCGTGACTTTAGTTTATCTCCTGTTTGCTTCTCTTAACTTTTCTTTTGTATTCAAGGAAAGGATTGTCTCTTACAATGCTCCAGCAGGAGTCTGACAGCATTGACGGAGTCCATTGGCCTTGATATCTTTTTTCCATAGCGCTTTATTTACACACGTGCGAGGCAGAACTACAGTCAAAAGAACAATGTAAAACGATGTTTAACGAGACTGTCTCAGTCTTCAACTGACTGACCCTCACCGTTCAAAAGTCTGGTCTTATAGAGGGCTTTCTGGCTTTTGCACACGGCACTCATACTACGTCATCAAACTTTTTGAATATTCTAGAATCTTCCATAGTGTAAGTCGCAACATGCATTTTTTCAACCATACGTGATCACGTGATTGCTTATATCATAAAAACTAGAGCCAATATACATTTTTAAATGTCATTTTCATTTTCAGCACCCCAAAATCATAAAAGAACAACTATTTTCAGGCCCGAAACTTTTTCTCCGTTGAACAGTGTAATCTATATAAATAAAAATGTAATGTTCGTTTGTGGTATTCACAGAACTCAAAAACCACTGGACGAATTGACACCAAATTTGGACAGCATAGACCCAACAACCCAATATATGTCCTTCACTCAAAAAAAAAATTGATTTTGTCATTTGGGAGTTGTAGTTGCTGGGATTTATAGTTCACCTACAATCAAAGAGCATTCTGAACCCCACCGACAATAGAATTGGACCAAACTTGGCACACAGTTCCCCCATGACCAACAGAAAATACTGGAAGGGTTTGGTGGGCAGTGTCCTTTGGTTTTGGAGTTGTAGTTCACCTACATCCAGAGAGCACTGTGGACTCAAACAATGATGGATCTGGACCAAACTTGGCACGAATACTCAATATGCCCAAATGTGAACACTGGTGGAATAGAATCTTGACATTTGGGAATTGTAGTTGCTGGGATTTATAGTTTGCCTACAATCACAGAGCATTTGGAACCCCACCAATCATGGAATTGGGTAAAACCTACCACAAAGAACCCCCATGTGGGCCACAGCAAAGCATGGCAGGGGACGGCTAGTAATAATAATAATAATAATAATAATAATAATAATAATAATAATAATTATTATTATTATTATTATTATTATTATTATTATTAGTTGGCAATAACCATTGGGATTTCAGTTGCAAAAGACCTTGTAGGCCATCTAGTCCAACCCCATTCTGCCAAGAAGCAGAAAAATCACATTCAAAGCGATAGTGAGTGCTATGATTTATAGTTCACCTACAATCAAAGAGCATTCTGAACCCCACCAACAATGAAATTGAACCAAACTTGGCATACAGTTCTCCCATGACCAACAGAAAACACTAGTAGGGTTTGGTGGACATTGAGTTTAGGAGTTGTAGTTCACCTACATCCAGAGAGCACTGTGGACTCAAACAATGATGGATCTGGACCAAACTTGGCGCAGATACTAAGTATGTCCGAATTTGAACACTGGTGGAGTTTGGGAAAAATAGACTTTGACATTTGGGAGTTGTAGTTCACCTACAACAGAGGAACAGAAAACACTAGAAGGGTATGGTGGACATTGACCTTGAGTTTGGGAGTTGTAGTTCATCTACATCCAGAGAGCACTGTGGACTCAAACAATGATGGATCTCGACCAAACGTGATACAAATATGAACACAGATGGAGTTTGGGGAAAATACACCTTGACATTTGGGATTTGTAGTAACTGGGATTTATAGTTCACCTACAATCAAACACCATTCTGAACCCCATGAACGAGAGAATTGGGGCAACCTTCCTACACAGAAGCCCAATGACCAACAGAAAATACTTAAGGCCATCGAGTTAAACTCCCTTCACCAGGGCAAGAATACATAATCAAAGCCCCCCTGACAAAGAGCCATCCAGCCATAGATATATATTAGGCTTGGTTGATCAAGAAAAAAAAATGGTTCTAAACTCGTTTCGTATATAGGGGCGTTGGTGGCTCGATTTTGAAATTATTTCCGAAATTTTCTTTAAAAAAAGATCGGAAATACCAGGAAATACGAATCGCTTCCTTTGTTTCATTAATGGAAGGTGCTCCTCCCTCCCTCCAGAACCATTAACATCTCGCAGTTTCCCTTCCTTCCCTTGCGGCGAGCTTCTCTCACCTTTCCTTCCCTTCCCGGCAAGCTGTCAGTCATGCAGAAGGAAGAGGTGGGCGTGGCCAAGCACAGCGCTCCTTGGAGGTCGCTGGGGGCGTGGCCTTCAGGAACAGCTGTTCTTACCTACACCCAGGGGCGGCTCATCCATTACGCGAAGTAAGCGGTCGCAGAACACTTTTTTTTTGCCAGGGGCACAGAGGCGCCTCTGTAAATGCCCCTCGACCACCACTTGAGGAGCGCCCCCTCAGCTCACAACAGCCCTAGCAGTCCGGGGGGAGCCTCGGCTTTCTTGCCTCGCTGGGCGATCCTCTTCCCAAAGGGGCCGGGCCCTTGAGCCTCGCCTAGCCCCTCTCGTTCCTGCTCCACCTGGCCACCGGGTGCGTGAGCAGAGCCGGCGCTCAATTGCTCTCCGCGTTCGATCCCTTCCCCATGACTGGCTCCCTTTCCCGATCCCCCGGCGCTCCACCCGCCTCCTCTCCTCTCCCCAATCTGCAAGTGGGCCAAGGGGCGGAGCCGTCACACCTGGCCCACTTCGGGTCCGGAGGTGTGTCTGAAGACCCCAGCGTGCGCACCAAAAGTGGCCTCTTCTCCTGACTTTCTCTTCAGCCATTGGGACCAAGAGAGAGAGAGAGAGAGCCCCTCCGGCTGGAGGTATCTCCCACCTCCGCTCCCTCCTTTGTTTTTGCACCTACCTTCAGGAAAGGTGGGCATCTCCACCTCTCTCTCTCTCTCTCTCTCTCTCTTGGTCCCAATGGCTGAGGAGAAAGTCAGGAGAAGAGGTGACTTTTGGTGCACATGCCGGGGTCTTCAGGCATGCCTCCAGACCCAAAGCGGGCCAGGCAAGGGAGCAAGTGCGGCAAGTGTAGTTACTGGGATGTATAGTTCACCTACAATCAAAGAGCATTCTGAACTCCACCAATGATGGAATTGAACCAAATATGGCACACAGAACTCCCACGACAAACAGAAAATATATATCAATGATTGGTTGGGGGGGGGGCAAAATACTGTTTGCTTACCGTTGAAAATTACCTAGGGCCGCCTCTGCCTACACCTACCTCCTTCCTCTTTGCATCAGTGGCTTTGCGAGGTGGGCGTGGCTACGCCCAGCTCTTCCGCATCGCCGCTTGTCGCCAGGGAGGTAGCCACGCCCACCTCGCAAAGCCCATCTCGCAAAGCCCACCTCGCAAAGCCGCCGATGCAAACAGGAAGGAGATGGGCGTGGGTAAGAACAGCTGTTCCTGAAGGCCACGGCCCCAGCATTTACGATTCACTGCCGGAAGTCGTAAGGAAGATGGCGGACGCAGCTTCGATATGGCAAAAACAGTTCTGGGTTGACAAAAAGCGCCAATATCGCTTCTAAAGGTATTTTATTTACGATTTCATAACGAGATTAGAAATTAACGAGCTGGATCAACCAAGCCTAATATATATATATATATATATATATATATATATATATATATGATTTCACACACACACACAGATAGTATCATAGATTTGAAAAGGACCCCTAAAGAAGGACAATGATATGTTGCCTGTTCCAGAGTGCGCAAACCAGACACTCTCCACATCAACACTGACAAAGAAATAACAAGAAATACTGTTTACCCATAAGCAGAAAGAAATTGCATCTATTACAAACCAACACTTTCTCATTACTTTATTTTCCAGATCAACAGACTGAGCCACAGCAACGCATGGCAGGGGATGGCTAGTCTATCTATATAAATAAAAAATGTGATGTTGACAGAAATGTGACAGAAGTCAAAAACCACTGGACAAAATGACACCAAACTTGGCAGCCAAACACATTCTAATCTGATCTATGACTTTCAAACAAAAAAAAAAAAGATACAGAATAGGGGACAATGCCTGGCTCGAGAGCAGGACGAGTGAAAAAGATCTTGGAGTCCTCGTGGACAACAAGTTAAACATGAGCCAACAATGTGATGTGGCAGCAAAAAAAGCCAATGGGATTTTGGCCTGCATCAATAGGAGCATAGAGTCTAGATCTAGGGAAGTCATGCTCCCCATGCGCTATTCTGCCTTGGTTAGACCACACCTGGAATATTGTGTCCAAATCTGGGCACCACAATTCAAGAGAGATATTGACCAGCTGGAATGTGTCCAGAGGAGGGCGACTAAAATGATCAAGCGTCTGGAGAACAAGCCCTATGAGGAGCAGCTTAAGGAGCTGGGCATGTTTAGCCTGAAGAAGAGAGGGCTGAGAGGAGATATGATAGCCATGTATAAATATGTGAGAGGAAGCCACAGGGAGGAGGGAGCAAGCTTGTTTTCTGCTTCCTTGGAGACTAGGACGCAATGGAACAATGGCTTCAA